TTGTAAATAAATCCCGTTTTGTGTTTCCTTGAAAAGAACTGTCTGCACGTGAGTCCGTTCAGTAGCCATGACAAGTTTCAGTAACAGCATAGCAGCAAAAAGGAGCTAATGGGAGTGCTTACTGATGGAAAAATACGGATGTCTTCAACAATTCACCTCAGTATCACTATCATTAATCTGTCATTCCTGTCATTATTCAGAAATGAGCTTCGTTGACTTGTTGACAAAGTAAGGGATAATGAGCACTGACCATGGTCCACTTGATCCAGTGATTTCAGACACAGTCCAGCAACTGGGGCATGTTAACCATCTTGACACAAAATACTAATAAGCATTATAAGCAACTTTTGTAGGTCTTCATATCCTGTCCAATGTAATTTGAGGAGTTGCTGATAACATAATGATATGTGATGTCAGGTTAGCATGGCATGTCAATTACCATCCATCTTCAGCCCTCACTTGCCAATTTTTTTCAACATAATGAGCAAGATGCTTGTCATGAATGTATCTGACTTCCTCTCAGAGAGCGTGTAAACTTGTTTGTTTACTTATAGTTGTCTCATCTACATAATTTTTAATAGGTTCACAGTTACCTGAATGCGTGGAATCTATGGACAATCTATGGATGCATGTTTGGTAGCATTAGTTGATAGCTTAGCATGCATACTCAAAAGAGAAAAATGATGGTGATGATGTAGCGCTAAGCTCAAGACTTCAGGGTCATCCATAAACCTGTAAATGATGTCATAATAATTCCATTCATTAGTCAGGTCATTCACCCTTGGTTTGGCTCAGAAGTCTCTGCTGTGTGTTTCAGGGAAAGTGCATCTTCAGTTATTGTTGTTGTGAGTGCCAAAATTGCTTTGAGGAATTAGAAAATATCTATAAAAAGCTGCAGATCTGAAAGGGAAAAGAACACTGAAAAGAATAGGGGGTAATTCCAAAGATAGGACTTCCTGCTGAGAACAAAAAGACTAATGGAGTGCTTGTTTACATTTTAAACATGATTCTTTTATCTTCCATCTCCTTTGTTCTTTTTTGTCAGGTTGATGTCAGTTTGCACTTCATGTCTCGCTTATAACCTGCTACTTATTTTCATTCTTTTCATTTTTCTGTCTTCTAAACAAGAACTTGCAATAGTGTTTACTGAAATGAGAGACATTGTTTCCCCCATTTTTCTGCATGGTACGTTTAATCTAAAATAAACTAATCTGACATATACAAAGCAGCTGGCTGTTTACCACATGACAGATTAGAATTCTTCGAGTAAATAAATGTATTATCCTGAAGGAAGCGTATTTTGCTTAAATACCTTATTGTTTTTCCCTTCTTCGTTTATATAAAGTGAGCGCAGATTATATAGATATTAGCATCACAACGTGCTGAGAACAATGATGATTTCATCAACATCATGTGTAATTCTTAAAAAAAATCCATGATTAGGAAATCGTTGAACAGTGATGCTTGTTGAAACAGTAGGTGACGTAAGAAGCCGAGATGTCAACATGTGTACACACTAAATCCTGGATAAGTCAAAGATACTAAATGATCCCAGGTTACGGGGCATTTGCTTTTCTCTAATATGGGCATGCAGTGTTTTGTAAATGCATCAATTCTTGTTTGCTGTTCTTGCTGCGTAATCCGGCCTAAATGTACCAAATATGTCAGACGATTTGAACCTTAGACATGTAAAGTATACGGCTACAGTTTCATCAGAAGACTGCCCAGAGTGTTTGACCCTTAATTTCACAATCGACCAAATGTATTTAGAAAAAACTAACATGTGAATTCTACTGATCTGCTAAAAATAAACCCATCTGTTCATAGCAATGAAAACAATCAAGCAGGTTTTAGAAGTCAGTACTGGTAAATGAGTCAAGCCATCTTAGTGTATATAGCTCAATAACAAGCGCTGGTAATAATGACGAATAATGAATCCCCAAGCTCCAGCTTTGTGGTTACAATAGGAGAACACAGGCTGTGTTTATAACTGACTGTAGGACCTTACTGGAATCTGGCAGCAAACACCCAGCCTGTCTGTTTGGCAAGCAGCTGCTTATGTAAGATGTGACAGGAAGGGAAGGACATTGGGGGGTAGAGTGGGAGTCTCTGGGGGACTAGTGTGTATGTGTGTGTGTGTGTGCATGTGTGTGTGTGTGTGTGCACACTAAGGGAACTGTAAACATATCCCCCTTAAGTGCGCTTTCAAAGGCAGCTTGTGAAAGATCTAGATGAGTGGTGCAGAGGCATGAAGCCAGCACACATTATTCAGACGTAACTGGCACCTTAGTTGTCATGATGGTAACACTTAAACAGTGATATTATAAGAGAATTTGCTGCAGTTGCAAGTGCCGTATGCAAGCAGGGGGTCCTGCTGAGGATTTAAAAAACAAGCTAATTCTGGTAATTGTTTAGCCAAAAATAAAAACAAAGTGCTCAGTAACGTCCAGGAGAGTGTCTCAATTATAAAACAGATATAGTGACTCAACCACCTTCCTCTGGTTTTATGTCATGTTCATTTAAAACATACAAAACGCATCACATGAACACCATCTTCACCAAATGTTCAGAACGAAGTCTTCACAGGTCGTTCTGCCAGCTTTTCTTTTAATCATCACCTTTTGTTTCACAGCTTGCTGGGCACTGGAGCCACAGGTGGTAACAGTAGATGCGGATTAGATGACTGAGCATTGAGGCCACATGGACACCTAGGCAATGTAAGGCACCGTTACACCGAGCCAGTTCAATCCGGCTGCAGCTCGGTTCAGGGCTGGTTGCACCACAGGGGCCCGAGACAAAAACTCCTCTTCGTCTATCCACATGATGCTCCCCCAGTCAACAGCATGAACTGAGCCTGCAATTCCAAGCATCACTGGATAAGGTGGATGGTACTGAGGTCACTCGTCCATAAGCTGGTTGGTTTTCTAATGTCATTAGTCCACACATTAGTGCCTATAATATATATAATAATATATTATATATATAATATGTATATAATATATATATAAGTCAAACTCAGCTCTTACACTTGCACTTAGGATATTGGAAAGTTTTAGTGCAACCATTATTTTGCTTTTGTTAATGTTATGTATCATAAGGCTGCAGACCTCTCAAGCTCTTATAGCATAAAACATAATCGCTTAGAGGATCATTTGACCTACATCATCATACATCATCTAGTGGACCAAACACTATTGTATCAGAATATGTACATTTTTACTACCTCCCAGCCCAACACTGGAAGTACAAATTCTAATTTGCAATCTCTTTTCTTTGTGTTGAATCCAAAAATCCTTTGCCCAGGCTTTAAGGTATTTATGGCCAAGTATTCCTGTTGTCCTAGTTTTGTGAAAATATAAGTGCAGCTTCTTTTTTTTTATAATTCTACCCATACATACAAAACAAACGATAACAGTATAGCTCAATGAATAAAGGAATGAGGACAGACTAATCTGAGCACAGTTCAAAGCTCAAGAGTCAGTACGAAGAGAAAAACAGCCATAAAACACATGCCATGCATACGCTGTTTCTGTTTATCATGAGCAGACGCTGCAAAACAGGGCAGTATGGTCACGCACCCTTTACTCCTGAGTGAGGATGCACTGCTGCAGACAGCTTTGCAGGGGCTAACATGGCTCACTGTCTCCATGGCGAAGCCTTAAGGACAATAAGAGTCAGCGAGTGGAGGTGGAGAGACAGGGAGGAAACCGAGAGGGTTTGACTGGGTTTCCATAACACTGCACCAGTAAACACGGGGTGACTCAGTTAGATGAATTATAATGTTCTGTTGCATTGGAGGCCGTCTGCTTCTTAAGAAGTGATGAATAAACCATCCCACAATACAGTTTCCGCTTTACGCCTCAATGTTTAGAATAAAATTTTAAAAAAAACCGGACTCACAAAAAGGAGACGACCAGCTCTTTGTTTATAATGATGTTGGTGTTAGTCAGAGGATGTAGATTGATATATTCCACCTCCTGCATAATCTGGCCTAAATGTGCCAAATATCTCAGACGATTTGAACATTAAACACGGAAAGTAAACGGGGACAGTTTGAGCTTCTTTGTTTTTTGTCCTGTTTGCCATTCCTTCAGATAATATGTTCTCTGTAAGATCTTCAATCGCTTCCTCCCAATGTTTGCCAAGTGCTCATTTTACACATCATTTGATTATCAGGATTCTTTTTTCTAATATGGTAGGGCCTTTTCCTCACCTTAAAGTGCCTTGAGGTGACTGTTGCTGTAAAGTGGTGCTATAAATCTAAAAATGAATTGAGATAATATGTTGTTGCATAACTTCGCCAACACTCCAAAACCTGCTTGTTGCATAAACCTGGCAACTCAATAAAGATCCATAACAAGCTGAAGGAGCCTGGGTGCGTTGCATCCTCCGCTGAGTCAGCTGGTAAAGGTTGCAGTGTATGTGGGTGTTTATCTCTGTGCTTTGCCTTGGATATTATTTCGACATGCAATCAGATATTGTAAATTAAATGATCAATATAAGTAATCATTTAATATCTCCTTGGAGTGAATCACACCCTATTTCACCTAGTTGTACAACAAACTGTACTTCAGTGTGTTGACTCAAACACTGGGTGTTCCCCCAGTACAACCACAGCCTTGTGCCCTTGCCGTCTGCCTCTCCACCTCAGATGTGATAAAAGTGTGCTGACCCCATGGCGTGCACGACAAAGAAGTGTATGAGCTGATGTCGTTTGGTCCGGCACCAGGTAAAGGAAATGACTGGGATGTGTCGGCAGTAGGTCCATTGTTAGCATAGCAGGAAGGCAAGGTCATATCAGAGACACAAGAGGGTGGAGCACGCAAGTCAAGTCTGCACTGATGAACAAGTCAGCTATTGCAAGGTAATAAATCAAGAGGGGTCTGATTGCAGAACACTTTCAGTGGAGACTCCAATCATAGCCTGTAACAGTGAAGCCAGTGCGGAAGTTGCTTTTTACTGGCCAACTGAGGCCAATAGCTGCAGGAAGACGTCCTGGCCTATGGAAGTCTTAGAAAAATGACTGTTAAACTTTGGTGAGTTTGGTAATTAAATTCATGATGGGACTGTCTCCTTAGTCACTTATTTCAGGTCATACTGAATAGATCATTTAATGCAGTTTGTACATTTTGGTCAAAGTACTCATGCTCATTGGCCAACAACTTGTCAAACACAAGTTACTGATACATCCGCTCCACTTCCTGCCAGTGAACCTGTTGCCGCTGCTGGCTTATTTCTACAACACCAGGAAGCAAAAATGTTATGTCTACATTAATGTATTATAAACTATCTTGGTTTCTTCTGTTCTATTCATTTATTTGTTTCATTAAAAGTAGGTCAAAGGTTAAAGAAGTTTCAAGTGACATCAGAGTAGTCGCACTTACAGCCCTGCACATCCCTTTTTTGTAAAGCAGACACATGGAAACCAGAAATGACTCTTTCATTTTTGAAAGCCAAAGAGTGGTGGTCAGACGCTTTCAATCACACAACTGGATCTCTGTTTAGACAGAAAGGAAAACGTCACTTATGGGAAATAATGCACCTCTATTTACAGTCACTGGACAATTATTAGACCACAGTAATGCCGACTGAGAGCTTCCACAGACTACTCCTGCCAGCAGCTTTCTTGTAATTTCTTAAAGTAGTCTTCAGAAATAGTTCTCCGGGCCTTTGAAGAACATTTACTTAATAGTTGAGCAATCTTTATGCCACTTTCTGCTTATTCACTTAGTAACACACACAATCATACAGTACTTTATCTATACTTAACCTCCATAGTTTGTCCAGGGACATGCAAATCAGAGGAGCTGTAGCGCGATCTACTGACCTGATAGTGACAGTTGACATACTTGCACTGTGTGTTTTTCTACCCAAATAGGCTTTTATTCTATTGCCAGCGTCTCTCATATTATGTTTTTTGTAGACTCAACTAAAGAAAAGAAAACAGAATAATTACAGTAGTTTTTTTCCCAACAGACCACTAGTAACAAAGTGCCTAAAGGTACAATTTAAAATTAGGTCAACTGAGTTATCTTTTATGTGTCAACACATCAGTAGTTTGTTCCTTGAGTAAGGTGTTTTCTTTATACTTGAGTGAATCGATCAGATAATGGTCAGGTACTGGTACTTGTCTGAAAATGAGTGCATATGCAGGTTTGAAAGACCTCCAACAAACCTCCAAAAATGAGAAGAAACTCTGGCTGCTTGGAAGTGAAACAGAAAGAAATAACAAGTGGGTCAAGACTTATTAACAGTGCCGTATGTACAAGTGTTTAGTGTGAGCCTTTTCAATAAGTCTGTGAATTAAAAGAAAGAGGTAATGACCTAGACGCAATAAGAGGAAGTCTATCAGCCGAGCCTTGCAGCAATTCTATGAGCTCAGGGAGGTTTAAAAGTGCTTAGCATGATAGTTTGGATATGGAACTGAGAGCAAGTGTCTGCTTTAGGCTGGTTCAAAGCAGTATAGTAAGAAAACTCAGTCTTCTGGATGGCTTTGCAAGTATATATGCTATATAGCCAAGACAGATTGCAGAGAAAGCTGGCATAGGAGCAAATATCAGCTGGGAAAACAAGAAGCACATCTCCTTTAAGATGGGCTCTCTTGACCTCACGTGAAACGCATCATAATAGTACAACTCATCCACTTAACACACTGTATACTGCAATAGCTACACCCTTTTTGCACACGCTCTCCTCTTATTCAGCTATTCATCAATAAGTGACTTTTATGTGTATAAGTGATGTATATATTGTATATATTGTGTCTATTTCTTACTTAGTGTATTGTCTGTCTTTGTTACTGTTTATACTGAAGCACTGTAACCAAAATAATTTCCCCTAGGGATCAATAAAGTATTTTGATTCTGATTCTGATAATATATGTGACAACGAGGACAAAAATCGTGAGGAAGTGAGAGATAAAGAGAAATGAGGTCAACAGTTACTCTCCACAGGGGATCCACTCTTAATGCACACTGAAGTACTGACAAGCACTGAGTCATAAGTTTCAGAACGTAGCATTAAACTAAAAGGCTGCTGTTTCTAAGTCCTTGTTTATACTGCATGCTGGACAGCAGGGCAGGCATCATCATCCCCCCTGCTCCACTTTGGACCACGGCACGTGGCCCACACGAAAAACAAGCCATGTGTGGAGTCAGTGCAGCCTCTTCTTCAACCTGCCAGCGACGTGTTTCCAGCCAGGCTCCTGAGAAAAATCCAAATGAAAAATCACATGTACATGAAAAATTTATTATTCTACAGCTATTAAGGAATGAATGCAAAACAAGTAAGAGATGGCTCGAGGATATTACATAAACATACAACCTTACAGACATTCCAGAGGTTAATCCTAAGGGGAGGATTGGTTAGATGGAATGTATGATTTGCAATCGGAGCATGAGAGAACAAGAACAAATAGGAAAGATGGATCAGTCAGCATGCAGTGTTTGTTCTGTTGTATAAATGATGCTCTTAAGAGAATTCCTGCCTAATATTCCACATTCGATCACAACCAGAGAAGAGTGTTGACTTGCAAAGTAGCTTCTTTCCACTTTCTGTGTTTATACCAGTAGCTCTTCCCGGCAGTTCAAACTGAATGTGGATAACAAGCAGTTTCTCAAAAAAATGTAATCAACTTAAGGAAATTCAGCACACCAATTAGGGGAAGTGATTTAGTAAATAAGATATAGACCTGTGGAAAATGTGTATCTGCATTTACACGTTTTAAATGGAATTTATACAAAGCTATGTTGTGGTATATAAAATATAATGGCTTCGAAGAGACACAAGATTTGACTCCAACCCAGGGTTTGAACTCCGGAGAAGCTTTCAATAAAAAATTGTCGATGGATTAGTAATTATATTCTGCTAATACAATACAGTTAACACAATCTCCCTAGTTCTTAATAGTTTATGTATGCTTTGTTTCTTGCAAACATATTTACCATATCTTACAAGAGTAAGAGACAGTCCAGTTACATGCATGTTAGGTTAGCTTATGATTATAAATTGAACCTATTGGTACAGCTGTTAGCCTGAGTGCTTGTCTGCATGGTTGTGTGTTGGCCCTGTGATTGGCTGGAGACTTCTGGGTGTTTCACTCCATGACAGCTGATATAGGCTCCAGGTCCCCCTTCAGCAATGAATTGGTTTAGAAAATATATGTAAGTATGGCAGACAGATGAATGGATGGAGTACCAGGAAAATGAAGATTTTTATTTATTCTTATGTATGCCACTCTTCAACTTCATTTTATTCATTTAGCACCAAATCACAACAATAGTCACCTCAAGGTGCTTTATATTGAAAAGACCCTACAGAGAAAACATTCAGAGGACCCCCAATGAGCAAGCACTTGGTAGCAGTGGCAAGTAAAACTCCCTTTTAACAGGAAGAAGCCTCCAGCAGAGCCATCGGCTGTGACTGGTTAGGGATGGATGGGAGGGAGACAGAGCAAATGGTATACTGTGGATAAGTGCCACATTGTTTCTTACATTGTGGGCCCCCTTTCCCCCTTTTTGAGACATGGTGTCTGCTCTATATACCACTCTAATCTCAAATGAAGACTATGAAGTTGCAAGACAGTCTCTGAAATGTTGCTTTTTTCAAAGTATCAGCAAAAAGAAGGCATCTGGATGGCTGAATGCTAACCACTGTCAAATCTCAAAATGGATGTGACCTTTTTCCACTCTCACTGATGTGTTATGGATCTTGGCTTGCGGGTAAATTGGAAAACTCCTGAGCCAGATTAATTTCAAGGTCAGACCAGTGGTGTGGAAGTGACTGTAATGTCCCTGGAGTCCAGTAGTAGCACAGTTGTCATGCTTTCTGTGTTTGCAGTCAATAAAGTTCAATTTTTCCACACATAGGTCATGCAAGC